TAGACATAATGAAACCTCATGAATCAATTAAACCACGACAACAAACAGAATATGCCGTTGGACAGTTAGTTTGGACATTGAAGCATCAACTTAACAAACGTCCCCAATGGCAACAAGCAATCATTACGAAAAATATCAGTTCAATGATTTATGAAATTCAATTACGTGATGGACAACGTTATAAGCGTCATCAAAATCAACTTCGTCCTCGTTATTCTTCAAATACTCAATCATCTGAAATAGGCAGTCTACCTGATGATTTATTAAACACTAAATCGCAATCAAAGACTACTACGTTTTCACATTCATCATCACCGAGGTATCGTCCTCGTCGAAATCGAAAACCACCTGATCGTTACACACCTTAGCAACTATCTTAAGGGGGAAGATGTTAAGGAAATATTCTTCCTGATGAACTATATATGTTTCTTCTTGCTCAATGAAAATTGTTCGTTCATTTCTATTTTCTCACGGTCAATTAACATCGATACTGACCTTGCCTTTTTATTCTTTTGCGCATTAATCTTTCTATCGCATAGCTTATAATACGTGATAGTGTTATCATCATATATATACACATGCACTTCTTTCATTGTATTCAGAATGGTTATTGTGGCATTCTCTTCTTCATAATTCTTTCATGCTTTCATTCTCTTCTTCTTTCCTACTTTCTTCTTCATTATTGAAATAAAATTGAACTCACGTTCAACAAAAATACAAAACTTACATTGGCGACGAGAGTGTTCCTCTCTTATTCATTCGTTGATCATCTTCAACAATCGAATTTTTCTTCGTATTCATTCTTCAATTATCTTTGTGATTTTGGCAATCATTGTTCATGTCTAAATCAACGTCAATGTCAACAGTTCAATCACCAACAGTTTCTTCAATTCCTGCACTTCATGCTTTCGATTCTCGCACAAGTACTTGGCAATCTTATCGAGATCGAATTAGTTTTTATTTTCAAGCAAATCGTATTCACACGGATGAAGATAAAAAAGCGCTTTTTCTTTGGTCTGTTGGTGACACCACATATAATTTATTAGAATCATTGATATCACCACGATCATTAATTGGTGAGGATACAATGTTCACCGATTTAATCAAGTTGTTAGATGCTCATTATGATGCAACAAAGAACATTATGACGTCCACATATGATTTCTACTCATGTTATCAAAAATCAGG